TATATTTTATATTTATATATTTATATTATTTTTCATCTGCAGAAGGCGGCGGCGGCGGGTGAAAAAATTACGGAATGCAATATCATCACGTTTACGTTATCCATCGATCGAGAGTCCTATGTTTATGTAAACAGTGACAGCGCTGTTATCCACGCCTACTAGTACCTCCCGCGCCCCGCGCTCCCCTCTAGTTCCATGAGTTAGAACCCGCCTAGTATACCTACTTTCCACAGTAGTATTCGGCTATCTTTAGAGATTAATATTCGTTGACTATTGGGGAAACTTATAAAAGTAAAGGACTTTTCGACTCAGTTTAGTCCGCTCTATCTGCTCATGAAATATTTGGCGATTATTTCCAGACAATCTGTATATGCTATATGTATAACAAATGATGCCATCAAGATGCTATCATATTCAAGATGCTATCATATTTTGCCATAATCAAATTTAGAAATCATATGAGGACAATATTTCATATAATGAAGAAGCATCTTGCTCTCTAATTTGTCGGCATTTATTACTGCAACGATTAACAGCAACATGTTGGTATCATAAATGAACTCATTTGACATGAATTTAAGATGCCATGTCATGACGTTGTCATTATAATATAATTAAAATTCTATCATAGTATGATATATATTTCATATTAAAGCTCTACTTTGGGGATCACTTCACATGCAAAATGCTGCGTTCCTTATATTCTTTTTTATGTGATTCTTATTTATAAGTTATTGCATGCCGTGGCTCTCTGTCGACAGAAATGCATAATGCTCGCGGGTGAATGATTTCGTAATAACATTTTTTTAATACGAACTACGATGGCATTGATTAAAAAATTTTGTAGCTTGAAGACATACACGCCACAATGGATTGATATCGTTACATATGTTTGATTACTGTCATTTTCTTCATAATGCTCAAGACGGAATGATTAATTATTGCAACATCATTGCTGTTATGTTGCAGTCATTTTGCCAACAGCATTACATACAGCTATTGCTGACCGTTTTTTTTTTAATTTCATCAACTGATTGCATTTATAAGCGATCATATTGCTGCATTTGTAACATGTTCCATTTTGATGTCAGTAAATGTATGCCGAATATAAAACAATTCATACAATGCATCAGTTTGCTCAATGTACTAAATCACGCTTGGTTACTTGAATTCTTTTTCCACAAAAGATATTACAAATAGCCAAAAATATTTTTGTTCTAATTCACGATTTACTCAAAATTCTGACGTGCATGGCAAATTCTGTCAACGACATCATGTTAAGCGCAGAAAAATCTTCAGGAAACGTATTATTGTAAACGTACTTCTGAGAAGTTTTTCTTGTAGCATTGTTATGGATTATGTACCTATATTAAAACGATAAAAAAGGCTAAAACTGCACTGTACACCTGAAAAAGATATATTATACTTTCATTATTCTTAATGAAAATATTTGTATTAAATTATTTATAAGTAAAAAAAGATTTTGATACATAAAATAACAATGGAAGATAAACAAATGCAGTTAATTGAGAAGTGATTCCAACATAATGTTGCCATTTAGATATTAATGTAATTTGTAGGATTGAATGTAAGTGTTCTATCATATAGGGTCTTTCAATAGGGACGCTCGAAATTTGTTAGATCATAGTAACCATGTTGTTAAAGTGACATCTATCAAATTTGTTGTGAATTGTTTAGTAGTGTATGGCAAATCACCATGGAAGGTCATAGTATTGAGCAACATGTGCAAATCATAAAATTTTATTATCAAAATCAGTGCTCCGTTTGAGAAACGTTCCGCGCATTACG